GGCCCAGCATTTCGAGATCAAGGAGCTCCCCGGCACAAAGAGCGAGTACTTCGAAGACCTCCTCAGGCTAGAGAGAGCAAGCAAGGCGCCGGTGCCCGCGACTTCCGAGGAAGCGACCACGACCAACGAGCAGGCGACGGACACTCCTCCTTCGGCTTCCTCCAAGAATCTGACCTTCTTCTTCCGCAAGCACGAGGAGCGTGAGAGCACCATCGTACATATCATGGCCAGCCGGAGGATAGCGACATCTACCACACTGTAGGTGGACGCCGCAGAAGGGGCCTGATCATCGATCCGGGCGCGGCGAATGGCCTCATCGGCACCGAGACGCTCAGGGATCTCCTTCAGCACATCGACAAGGCGCAGCAGGTCAATGAGACGCTGCTCTGGAGGCCAAAGCAGTCTGAAGTCACAGGAATCAGTGGAGCCGCGGACACCACCCTCGGCGAGGTCACCATGGCTCTTCCGATGATTCCTGGTCTGGAGACTGCGAAGTACAAGGCCGACGTGATCGGCGGCGAAGCAAGCATGTGTCCCGCACTAGTGGGCAACCCGGCTTTGGTGAACATGAATGCCGTGCTTGCCTCCAACTGGTTCTCGAACAAGGACGGCCTCCTCATCATTCCCGATGGCGAGGAGAATATGCACTTGATCCGGCTTCTCTTCACCGACTCTCGTCACTACCTTCTGCCCTTGGACTCCGAAATCGACAGCGTCACGTCAGCCGACGACATCAACAAGGCCAAGACCTTTCTGGCGCAAGCTGAGACAGAGTCGCGGAAGAGATGGACGGATGTCAGAACATGGTTCTCATGGGCGACGACACCGAAGCGGAAGCGGAGTCATGGCGTCCAAGAACTACATGACAAAAAGGGCAACGAAGCCATCAACGACACCAACCACATGCACCACAACAAGGACGACAACGACCTTAAGGAGCGGAAGACAGTGCGATTCGCAGAAGAGTTTCCGACAGCTACGTCGACCACATCATCCGAGAACATGACCGACTCTAGGGCCACAGAGCAGACCTCTGTGCAAGAAGAGTTTCCGACAGCTTCGACCACATCATGCGAGAACACGACCGACTCTGGGCCTTTAGTTAGTGAACATGTTCCAGAGTCACCAGAAGGCAAGGGGCAATTTGCAACACAAGCGTTGTCGAGTGAGACCCTGGCGTCAGCGACCGTCGAGGCAAAGTTCGACACACCAACGATGTATCCGGGCGACTGTTATCCTCCTGGGCTACATGACCAAAAGGTGCAGAAGCTCAGTCGTCAGTACAGGGCCATTCAGGAGGAATTCTACACAAAGTCCGGCTACCTGACTGTGACGCCAGAAAACTTCCACCAATGGAAGCAGACCAGCAAGGCCAAGCGGAAGAGTCAGTTCTGGGAGATATGCAGCGGATCTGGACGGCTTTCATACCTTGCACTCCTTGCTGGTCTGTCAGTGGCGTTTCCTGTGGACTTCCGATATGGCTGGAATCTTGGCGATGTGAGTTATCAGAGTATGCTTCTTGAAGCTCAGAAGCAGATGCGACCTGATGTCCTGATGCTGTCTCCGTCCTGTGGCCCATGGAGTACCTCCGCGAATCGACTTACTGCAGAGGATTGCGAACGACTTCGAGAAGAAGAACGCAACACGCTGAATTTCATCAAAAAGCTGGCCAAGAACCAGTTCGATGAAGGCCGTGGTGTGCTCATCGAGAATCCCTGGGGTTCGGCGTTGTGGACGAAGTCAGTTCTCGCCAACATGGAGAATGAGATCTCCGGCTTCCGACCAAAACAACGTGCAGACCAGTGTGCGTATGGCGCTGTGGATGAGAAGGGCAAGCCCATCCAGAAGGCCACGGGTCTGCAAGCCAACTTCTCCATAAGGAACTCCACTCACCGATGTCGGGGACACCGACAAGGACACGGAGTTCTCCAAGCAACCTACAAGGGCATGAACCGCACCACTTTGGCCGCGGTCTATCCCCATCAGTTTTGCCGAGCTATGATCAAGGACGTCAAGAAGTTCATCGCCGCAGACAAGGAGTCCTATTTCATCGGCTATAAGTGTCAGAAATGCGCCCTGGGCAAGGGCGCTCCTCCAGGAACAGAGCACACTTTGATCCCTCGTGAATGCCGACACGCCAGCTCATTGCCTACGCCGGCGACCTCATCAGCAAGCCGAAGCTCTCAGGATCCTCCACCAGTTCGTACGGCAGTCACGACCCCAGTGCCTCAACTGTTGGAGGAGTACAAGCAAGCGGCACTGAGGAAGGCCAATTTGGACGACATCAAGCTGCAGCTCCCCTC